TGGGTGCAGGATGGGCTTTGCTGTGGTGCTGCCCCTTCACTCCTCCCCAGGTTCCCCACAGACCCCAACACGTGGAGCGTGGACCGCCAGCTGCTGTGGGGCGCAGGGCTGCTGATCACACCGGTGCTGGAGCAGGGACAGACCAAAGTCAGTGGCTATTTCCCAGCTGGGACGTGGTACAGCTTCACGGGGGTAAGTGCTGGCTGTGGGACAGTGTGTGTCTTTCTCCATCTCACCCCAACATATGACCTGTGAGCTGTCCCCAGAGCTGTGACACTTCCATCCCTCGTGGCAGTCTGAGGGCTTTGATGCTCTGCTGGGATCCCCGTGGATGCGTTGATCCCCAGGATGCAGCCTTTCTTCTTTTTCTTATTTAGGACTCAACCATCCACAGCAAAGGGCAATGGATCCTTTTAGCAGCACCACTGGACACCATTAACGTGCACATCCGAGCAGGGCATATCCTGCCCCTGCAGGTGAGTTCTCTGTGTGACACCCCAATGACAATGGGACCCGGCCACTCCATGGCTGTGTGTGGGGTTGGGGCAGGGCCTGGGTCTGACCCTGCACCCCCAGAAGCCCGGACTGAACACAGTTGAGTCCCGCAAGAAGGGGATGACCGTGGTGGTGGCCTTGACACCGGACGGCTTTGCCCGTGGAGAGCTGTACTGGGACGATGGGGAGAGCTGGCAGAGCTTCGAGAAGGGGGACTGCACTGAGATCCTCTTCCTGGCTGCACGTGTGAGCATGGGATGGGGCTGGGAGTTGGGAGGAGGGCACTGATGCACCCACATCATACCGAGGTCCCCAGGGTGAGCCCCGCCATCACTGCATCCCCTCGAGCTGCTCGCAATGCGGTGCCAGCGGTGCTGGCTGGGGCAAGGAGGGGGTGCTTGGGGGGCCCCAGGGGCATTGGATGACCTTCCCTGTTTCCACAGGGTGCCGTGCTTAGCCAGATCTTGCGGGCTGGCGGCCACCTGGATGGGATCCTGCTGGAGGACGTCACCGTGCTGGGCGTCCCCAGTGCTCCACAGCGAGTCCTGGCCAATGGCATCCCCGTGGAGGACTTCTCATACCGCAGTGACACCCAGGCGAGTGCTGCTCCTCCTGGGGGAGCCCTGGGCCCGTGGGATGGGGCTGACTCTGCTTTTGCCTCCCCAGGTGCTGCGTGTCTCCGTGTCGCTGCCGATGTGGGAGCAGTTTGTGGTCGCTTGGTCCTGAGCAGGTGATTGTCCCAGGTGTCACTGTGCCATTGTGCTTTGAATCTGTCCATCCCTTCTGAAGCAGTGTTGCCTCTTTCCCATGTGTTGTAGCTGCTGAGCCTGGCATATTTGTGCTGAAATGAACTCACAGGAGGTGTAAGAACGGGGCTGGCACAAGCAGGCCTGCAGAACTTGAGGGGATGGGGAAAAACTCATCGACAGAATGGGGAAAAAAAAAGACCCAAGTGCCTTCTGATACAGCAACCTGTCAGTGTGAGAAACCTGGCACCTGTCGGGGACTGTGGGGATTCTCCTGGTTGTGGTTTTGGGATGGATGTGGGAGAGTCCTTTCTGCACACTGGACTGTGGTGGTTGGTGTGTGCTGGGTGTGGGATGCAGTCTGGAGCTTTTCCACGAGGGCTGGGAGTAGGGTGGGGGCCTGGGGAGAAATGCTGTGAATAAAGAGTGGTTGTTTGCTCCCAGCAGTTCGTGTTGCTGTAGCCATTGGGCTCAGTCCCAGCCTGTCCTACCATCAGCTCTCAGCCCTCCCCTTGGTTGGGGCACCCTGGCTCCATCCCCAGCATTTAGGAACTCCGGAGCTGTGCTGAGCTGTGGGGTTTAATCACAGCCCGGCCCCACAAAGAATAGAAGGGTGCCTAGTGGTTGCCCCTGTCCCCTCCCTGCACCTGAGGGTGTCACAGGGGTGACAATCAGGGCAGCCCCAGAGCATGCACACCACAGCAGTTCTGCATGCTGTGTGCACTGTGCCAAAATGAGAACTACACCACTTCTGTGTGCCCACCAGTGGCTGCTGGCTGCTTCCCAGTGAGCTGCAGAGGGACAGCTGAGCCCCAGCTACACCACACAGCTCTCCACCAGAAGCTTTATTGAGCATCAGTTTGGCTTTACAGCTTCTCAGTCTGAGCAGAGCCACGAGGATCCTCGTGCTGCAGGCCAGGCAGTGCTGGTGGAGCAGCTCACAGCTCGTTGTGCAGCGGCTGGCACTGCGGGCTCAGCTTCTCCTCCAGGACAGCATCAGGGGCGCACACCCAGGGGTCCCCCGTGTCCCACTGCCACTTCAGCAGCTGCGCACGCAGCATCTGGAAGACGGCAGCATAGCGTGGGTCAGAGGCCAGGTTGTGGCTCTCAGTGGGGTCCTGGCTGCAGTCAAAGAGCTCCCAGCGGTCCCGGTAGTAATACTGGTGCAAGGTCTTGTTCCAGTGCGTGGGCTGCCCGGCCCTGGTGCGGTTCAACAGGTCTTGAAATGTGGGTGAGACGTAGAAGTCCTGGTCAATGGGGAAGGGCATCTTGTAGTTGAGGTTGTGGATGAGGCGGAACTGGCGGTGCTGGATGGCACGCATGGGGTAGTACATGGTGGCCTCGTGGTGGCTTTGGCTGCTGAAGGCGGTGGCCCAGGGCTGCTCTGACTGCAGCGCTGGCAGGAGAGATTTACCCGTCAGCTGCACCCGCTTTGTGCCAAAGATGCTGTACGAAGGGTAGGGGATGGAGAACCAGTCCAGAATGGTCGGTGTGAGATCTGCAGGGAAAGAGAAGGTGAGAAGGTGGCACCTATGGGAGCAAGCTCAACCCGAGAGGGTCACCCGTGCTTATCCCACCTATGCTGGGGTGACTGCAGCACAGAGATGCAGTGCAGGAGAGAACTGGCACAGCTCCGCTCCCTCCTCACAGACAGCACTTACCCAGGAGGCTGGCAAAGGCTGAGCTGACCTGGCCCCAGCGCCCGGGGTGCTCCGGGGAGGAGAGCAGCAGGGGCTCAGCTGTGCCTGACCAGTAGAGGTTGGTCCTGCCGCCGGGGAAGGGGATGCCGTTGTCAGAGGTGTAGATCACCAGCGTGCTGTTGAGGACGCCAGCACGCCGCAGCTCCTCCAGCACCAGCCCGATCCCTGTGGGCAGCAGGCAGAGCTGGGCAGCTGCAGGACAGAGCTCTGTGTGCAGGCACCAGCCTGCTCCCACACCCCTTACCTTGGTCCATGCGTCCGATGGTGGTGTACTGAGCTGCCAAGTCTGCCCGGGCAGCTGGTGTGTCTGGAACAAAGCGAGGGACCTACATGGAGAAAGGGGAAGTGGTGTGTGGGGCCATGGGAGGGGTGGCATCGGCACACCATGGCTGGTGGCTGTTGTGCAACCCCATGGCCCCTACCTGCACATCCTCTGGGTGGTAGAGCTGTGGTTTCCAGTCAGGGATCCAGCCCATGCCACTCTCTCCATTGCCAAATTTCTCACAAAAGGCTCCATACTGGGGCTGGGAATGCCCGCAGCGGTGTGGGTCATGGAAAGCAACATAGAGGAAGAAAGGCCTGGAGAGGGGGGAGGCAGTGGAGCTGGGGATAACCTGTGTGCCCCATTGCCCCCCCCAGTCACAGCCTTCTGTGTCCCCCCTGCAAGGTGCTCAGGGCTCCAAGGCACACAGGGCCCCATCCCACCTCGCGTCCTGGCTCTGCAGGAAGTGCCGGACCAGCACTTTGATGCGGGTGATGTTCCTCCCCACCTGCAGCACCGAACTGTTTTCTTCCGTGTAGGCAAAGTCGAAGGGGTACACAGCCTCAGGCCCAACATGCTTCTTCCCAATGATCCCTATAGAAACACAGATGTGTGCTGTGCCAAGAGGAGAGAGGCAGGGCACTCTCGGCCCCTCCTGCCCCAGGGCTGGTGCAGGGATTCTGCTCTATCACAAATGATGCCCCAGTCCTTGCTGCTGTATACAGAGGCACTTCTATGTGTGGTCAGAAAATGGGACCTGCCTGGGACTGCTCTGCTCTGGTCACAGCATGCACCAGCACTGGAGCAGCGAGCAAATGGGGGGGAGGTGTGGGTCTGGCATGAGGCTGGGAGCCAGAAAGCAGCAGGAGAACAGAAGTGGAAGCAGTACGGAGGCCGGGGAGGGAGCAGAGCAGGGGCATAAACCCGGCACCACGCAGGGCTGCAGTCATTGATTCCCTCCCTGTGCCGGGTCCCCACCTGTGCGGATGTTTGCCTGGCGGAGCAGCCACGGCAGGCTGCGCACGGCGTCGAAGGAGTTGAAGTGGTGCACGCTCTGGTGCAGCCCGTACATCCCATTCTGGTGCTGCAGACGGGGGGAGGCCACGCGGTGGGACGATGCCCAGCGTGCTGACCTCCAGAACAGCACAGCATGGCTGCAGTGCCGGGCAGGGGATGCCCACCTGGGGCAGCCCGGTCAGCACGCTGGCCCGGCTCGGCGAGCAGCTGCTGACGGACGTGAAAGCGTTCTGGAAGAGCAGACTGCGCCGTGCCAGCGCGTCCAGGTTGGGCGTCCGGATGGCCGAGTTGTTGTAGGCACCGCTCTCGAAGCCGCCGTCGTCCGCTGCGGGGACAGGAGCGCGGGGTGAGCCCTGCGGCACGGGGTGAGCCCGGCCCGGCCGAACCCTGCGGGCAGCAGAACCGGCGGTGGGCAGTGAGAAGCTCACGGTCATCCCGCAGCACAGCCGCGTTCCCCGGGCGCTCACCCAGCAGGAGCAGCACGTTGCGGGCGAGGGCTCCGTCGAGCCGGAGCGCGCCCAGCAGCAGCGGCAGCGCCCAAACCCGCATGGCACCGACACCGGCCCCGGCCCCGGCACCGACACCGACACCGGCAGGGCTCGGGGGCCGCAGCTCCTCCTTCTGCTCCAGTCACATGAGCCGGCCGGAACGGATCACATCCGTCCCAGGCGGAGCCGCCCGCCGGATGCAGCGCTGCGGGTGTTTGTGCGCCCGAAGCTGTCGGGAGCGGCGGGAGGAGCGGGGCGGCCCGCGGGCGGAGCGGCCCCCGAGGATGCCGTGAGCCCAAACTGAGCCATGTGGGGCCCGCGGGAGCCCGGGCAGCGCTGGTGGCAGCGGGCGGTGCTGCGGAGGCTGCCCGTGCTCGGCTGGCTGCCGCGCTACTCGCTGTCCTGCCTGCGGCTCGACCTGATCGCCGGCGTTACCGTGGGGCTCACGGTCGTGCCGCAGGCGCTGGCGTACGCCGAGGTGGCCGGGCTGCCCGTGCAGGTGGGTGGCACAGCCCCGGGCTGCCTTCGGCCCTGCCCGTGGGGACCCGCGGGTTGGAGCAGGCAGAGCAGAGTGGGACGGCTGGGAGGGTCGGGTAGGGCTGGGTGCATGCACAGGTGGCATAGAATCATACCATCACAGGATGGTTGGAGCTGGAAGGGACCCTAAAGGCCATCTGGTGCCACCCCTGCCCTGAGCAGGGACACCCACAGCTCCATCAGTGCTCACAGCCCATCCCTGCCCTTGGCTGTCTGCAGGGATGGGGCACCACTGCCTCTCTGGGCAACCTGTGCCACTGCCTCACTGCCTGTAGCGTTAAAACTTCTTCCTTGTATCCAATCTGAGTGCTCTGTGTCCCCGTGCAGTACGGCCTCTACTCTTCCTTCGTGGGCTGCTTTGTGTACTGCCTCCTGGGCACCGCCAAGGATGTGACGTTGGGCCCCACTGCCATCATGTCCCTGCTTGTCTCGTCCTACGCCTTCCATGACCCTGCCTATGCTGTGCTGCTCGCCTTCCTGTCTGGCTGCATCCAGCTGGCCATGGGGCTCCTGCACCTCGGTGAGATGCCTGTGCTGTGTGTTCGTGTTCTAGAGATGTGTCCTGCAGTCGCTCCCTCCCCTGTGCTCTCTGAGATGCTGGAGTTGTGCTGCTGTCACTTGTCACAGCTTTGCGTGCACCCCTTTCTCCCCTTCAGTGCCAGCAAAGCAATCTGTGTCACTCATCCCATGCAGGTTTCCTCCTGGACTTTGTTTCCTGCCCAGTCATTAAGGGCTTTACGTCAGCTGCTTCCATCACCATTAGCTTCAACCAGGTCAAGGTAGGGGCTCAGCTCTGCCCCCCTCTCCTGGAGCCGTGCTGGCTGCTCAGCAGTGGGCAGCACTCTGGCTCTTCTGGAGCTGCAATGCTTCCTTTGTGGTTAACCAAAATCAGGCTCGGGGCCACAGTGTGAGATTGTGCAAGGAAGCAGGGGATGGGTCTGGCAGGGGCTGCCTGGGATGGAGGCCTCTCAGGGCTTGGGGCTGAAAGAGAACCAGAACATCCCTGGGGCAGCCCAGGAGGTCTGTCCTCACTATGTGTTGGAACTCAGGGAAGTTGCCCTGAGCTGTCCCAGCCTGCAGTGCCCCAGGCTGGCCATTGTGTGCTGGGCTTGCATGAGGTTGTCTTTCTGCACAGAACATCCTGGGGCTGCAGGGGATCCCTCGGCAGTTTTTCCTGCAGGTGTATGAAACGCTGAGGAGGATCGGGGAGACCAGGTCAGCACCGTCCCTGCACCCTTGCTGCTCTCAGGCTTTGCTGCTTCACTACACGCCTCTGGTCACCCCTTGGACTGTTTCTCAGTCCATGCCCAGTACTGTGACTTGAGAGCCTGTTCTCTACACTCCCCAGTTTTTCTGGAAATTCGAAGATAGGGATGCACATGGGCTCCTAAAGAGGGGGCACAGGGCGAACTCCTGTTCTCTGCTCCCTGTTAGGATTTTGCCAGCCCAAAAGCACATCCTTGGGGCCGTGCATCTGTCACAAGTCCTCCCCCAGTTTTTGGTGGCCCAAGAGAGGAGCTCCCAGGTGAACACACCTCATTGCTGTGGGGAGGGGAGGTGGTGGGTCTGGCTGCACGAATCCTGCCTACTGCTGGCATCCTTCTTCCCTGTCCCCAAAGAGCCCACAAGCGGTGTGGGGGGCAGACGCTCTCCTTCCCCTACAGCGATGCGATGAGTTTTGCTGGTGATTCATTTTGCTGGTGGTGCCACAGCGTCCCTGCAAGGCAGCAGCCCTGACACATCCCATTGCAGGGTTGGGGATGCCGTTCTGGGACTGTCCTGCCTGGCTGCACTGGCTGGGCTGAGGGCCATGAAGAGCCGCCTGCACCCCGCTGCCAGCACGGAGCCACTGGCTACCAGGGCCAGCATCCTGCTCATCCAGAGCTGTGCCACAGGTGCGTTGCTCCCTGCCCCCTGCTCTCCCAGGACCTCGTAGCCTGGATTCCCCTCTTTGCCCCAGGTTTTCAGGGCTGTTCTCTCCCGCAGCACGCAATGCCCTGGTGGTGCTGGCTGCTGGCCTGGTGGCATACTCCTTCCAGGTGAGCGGCTCCCAACCGCTGACGCTCACCGGCAGTGTTCCCTGTGGGCTCCCCCCGTTCCATCCACCACCCTTCTCCAAGGCTGTTCCCAATGGCACTGTGCCTTTTGGCAGGATGGTGCAGGTGGGTGCCGGGCTCTGGGGCTGCTTTGTTGGCACCTCGGGGCTTGCTCCTCTGTTCTGATGCTCCCCATCCTCCTCTGCAGGACATGGGGGCTGGGCTGGCCGTGGTCCCCCTGGTGGGTGTGCTGGAGACTGTCGCCATTGCCAAAGCGTTTGGTACGGCTGGAGGGGGCCCTGTGAGGGGTTGGGGGCTGAGGGGACCTTGCAGTTCCCATGGGGGCTGTGTGCTGAGCGCTCTGGGCTGTGCTTCTCTCCTTGCAGCTTCACAGAATGATTACAGGATCGATGCCAATCAAGAGCTGCTGGCCATGGGTAAGGCTGTGGGGCTTGTAGGGATGGATGGGCCCATCTGGAGCAGAGGAGGTGGCAGCGGTGACACAGATCGAGTTGTGCACCCACAGCCCCTCTCCTTCCTGACTGCAGGCACTGCCAACATCCTGGGCTCCTTCTTCTCCTCGTATCCCATCACAGGAAGCTTTGGCCGGTGGGTGTATGGTGGGGCTCATCCTGGGGGGTTGCACAGAGACCTCAGGCAGAGCCCGTGTGGTGCTGGTGGTTCCCATGCCCCAGCCCCCAGCTGGCAGCAAGGCGGGCACATCACACAGCTGCTTTGCCCCCCAAGTCCCACAGTGGGTGGGGGGCACCAGGTTTGCCAGCAGCCCCCAGTGGGACCTGCCCAGGGGCTGTGCAGGCAGCAGAAGGGGCAGCGTGTGGCTCTGTGTTTCAGGACAGCAGTGAATGCACAGACAGGGGTCTGCACCCCCATGGGAGGGCTCGTCACAGGTATTGCCTCTCACCTTGCTGCTCCTGGCCTCGGAGAGCCCCAGTACATGGGGGGGCATGGCTGAGGCACCGCTGCTGTTCCACAGGCACCCTGGTACTGCTGTCCCTGGCCTACCTCACCTCGCTCTTCTGCTACATCCCTAAAGCAGCGCTGGCGGCCGTCATCATCTCTGCTGTGGTCCCCATGTTTGATGCCAGGATCTTCAGGACACTCTGGAGGGTTAAGAGTGAGGGCACAAGTGGGGTGGGTGATGCCCAGACTGGGTGAGATGGGGTGTTTAGCCCTGGCCCCAGAAATGCCTGAGCCCTTCCCAGGGGTTGCATGTCCATGGCTGGGGGTTTCTCCTTTTGCTGACCCAGTGACTGTTTCCTCCTCAGTTGTTCTGCCCTTGGGTCATAGAATCAGAGCATGGTTGGGTTGGAAGGAACCTCAGAACCCCCCTCAGGCCCACCGCCTGCCATGGGTTAACTGCCTGCCACCAGCTCAGGCTGCCCAGGGACCATCCATGGCCTTGGGTACCTCCAGGGATGGAGCACGTACACTGCTTCTCTGGGCAGCAGTGCCAGGGCCTCATCACCTCTGGCTAAAGAATTTCCTCCTTGCATCTGACCTAATTCTTTCCTCTTTTAGTTTAAAACCATTCCACCTTCCCTGTGGGACCAGAATTGGGTTATGGAGCATCAGAGTACTGCATTACCTTATCTATTTTCTGCTGTGCTTCCCTCTGCTTATCCACTGCTGGTTACCAACTTGACACTGAGGTTCTGGTGGCTGGAAGATGAGGCACAGCCAAGCCTGAGGCTGTCTATTTTGCAGGGCTGGACCTCATCCCCCTCTGTGTGACATTTCTGCTCTGCTTCTGGGAGGTGCAGTATGGCATCATGGCTGGCGTGCTGGTCTCAGGCATCATCCTGCTCTACTCCGTGGCCAGACCCCCGATCAAGGTGGGCTTACACCCTGCTTGGGCTCTCGCTGGCTCCCTGAGAGCAGCAGGGAATGGTGCAGGGCCCTGTCCTGCTCCTGCCTTGTCCCATGTCCCCAGCCAGCTGTCAGCACAGCCCAGGGTCTTGTTCCAAGGAGCAAAAGCACAGGAGGAACCCAAGGAACTAGGGACAGGAGAGTGAGGCATTGCTTCCTTGTACCTTGGGTGTGTGCAGGAGAGGAATTCCTGTGAGGATGGGGGTGTGCTCACCCAGCAGGAAGGACACTGGCTCACATTGTCACGTGGGCCATTTCCTGGCTCAGGGCAGACCCCAGCCCTCAGCCCACTGTGACTCAGCCCCATGGGTCCCGTGCAGGTGTTGGAGCAAGGTGTGCTGGTCGTACAGCCGGGGAGCAGCCTGCACTTCCCTGCTGCTGACCACCTCCAGGACATCATCCGTGACCAAGCACTGGCGGGTATGGTGCTTCTCAGCCATCAGATGGAAATGGGGACCCCCAATGCTTCCCAGATCACTTCTGGGGGAGCTGAGCCTTGTAGCTATGACCAAACACAGCTTTGGGCTGCCTGATCCGCAGGGCTGTGTCCCCTGGGGCACCTGTACTGATCATGGAAAATGACCATGCGTTCTCCCAGCAGCGTCCCCACCGTGCTCTGTCATCCTGGATTGCCACCATGTCAGCAGCATCGACTACACGGCAGTGGTGGGGCTGGCTGAGGTGCTGCAGGACCTGCACAAGCACGGCATCTCGCTGGTGTTCTGCAGCCTGCAGGTACATGGGCAGCCATGCAAAGCCCCAGCCCTGCCAGCACCATGCTGGTTCACACGTACCAGGAAGGGTTGGTGCAGGTGACTCAGCCTTCCTTGCTCCAGGGTGAGCCCTTGGCTTGCAGCAGCCCATGTGCAAAGCACAACCGTGTGGCTGCCTCTCTTGGTAGCATCCTCGTCTCAGAGACGTGGTGGCTGCAGCCTCTTGAGCCACACTGTGGGGTGGTGAGGAAGGGCTGCGTCCCCCGCACAGCACATGTGCTTCCCTGCCCTGCCCAGAGGGGCTCCTGGCACAGAGCTCCCCAGCCCGTTTCTCTGCCCTCAGGACCCAGTTCTCCGAGCCCTGCTGGCCGCAGACTTGGAGGGATTCCAACATTTTCTCAGCTGGGAGGAGGCAGGTGAGGCTGCCATGAGATGCTCTTATGGCTCTCAGGGAGCTGGGGGAGTGAGGCTGAGCCCTGGCTTAACCCTGCTTTTCCCCCTTCCTCACTCAGCACGCTGTAGCGAAGCGGAGCTGGGGGTCAGCAGGACAGCCTACATTGACAGCACCGATGAGAGCTCACTGCTGCCTGCAGGGCTTATCCAGTGAAGCAGAGCTGCGGTGTGGGGCTCACTCTGTGCCTCAAGAGCTGCTCCCAATGGCCCCAGAGGCTGCACATCCCGTGCCTGCAAGGGCAGGCAGTGCTTGGGGGAGAGATGTGGGGACAGAGCAGCGACCCGATGGACTCTGGGATAAAGTCACTCCCTCAAGATTGGCCCCATCCTGGAAGAAACTGCTTTTTAAAATCAGATGTTTTATTTCTGGAGGCTTTTCTTACTCCGATACACTTCAGAGAACTGTAAAATCTTTGGGTTCTGACACACAGATGCACATTTCAAGGACGTCGGAGCTGCCCTGCAGCTCAAGGCCGCACTTCAGCTCACACTGCCAGGAAATTAAAGCCTCTGTTACATGCTCCTTAGCTATCCCTCTGCTCTATGGGGTCTTCTACCAGGCTCTGTCGGGGGGTCCCACCCGTGAGCTGGGTTCTGCCCTGTGTAGGGAAGCAGTTGGCTGACCCCCATCAGGGGATACAAGGAAACAGGAACTCCAGTTCCTGTCTCAGCACATCTTTATCTTGCTCTGGAGAAAGCTGACGTGCGGGAAGGAGAAATCGATCTACAGTTTCTTGGTACGGTTGAGCGCAGCATAAGGAAATGAAAGCGAAAGTCGCTCTGCTGCCCACTGCTCAGCTCCCGCACTCCGCACGGCTGCCATCAGTCGAAGGGCGGGGTGACATCGCGGTGACATCGCGGTGATATCGCGGTGGAGGCAGCAGCGCCGGGAGGGCGCTGAGCGGCTCACGTCCGTCCGTCCGTCCGTCCGTGCATCCGTCCGCCCGTCCATGCCCACAGGTGAGGTGAGCACACCCGGCTCCAGCTGCCCCTCGCAGCTCCGCACGGAGGGCCGGGAGGGGACACAGCAGTGGCCCCGGAGAAAGGACCCCAGCCCGGACGGGACAGCGGTCCCGGGAATCGCGGGAGCAGCGCTGAGTCGGGGAGAGAGCGCACGCGGTTGGATTGGGGTCTGCGGGACTTCGAGGGGGATGTTTATTGCGAAGACTCCGAGATGGGAAAAGCGGGGTGGGTTTGGTGGTCTGAGTGGAACAAGAGCGGCAAAAGAGGCTCCGCGCCACTCCATTAAAGCTCTGCCCGGGACTCCCGGCCCGGTCCGCAGCCATCAGCCGACACGGGAGTGGCGGAAGCCGACCCGGAGGAGGTGTCCGGAGCCGCCCCGTGTTCCCCCCCGCCTCCCCCCGCGTGGCGTGGATTGGTCGGGAACGGCCTGGGGGGCGGCGGCGGTGACGTTCCGCGGGGGAAACTTGGTGGCTCCGTGGAAAAACGAAACTTCTCCGGGGGCGGCGGTAGCAGAGCGCTCGGGCTGCGGGTCTCGGTGCCGTCGGTGAGTGCTGCCGGTGGGTTCCGCGGGTGGGGCAGCTCTCGGAGCTGTGCTATGGTAGCGGGACGATCCGATACACGACCGCGGTGCTCGGCGACCCCCCGGGCAACCCGCTCCTCCCGGTACACCCGGAACTGCTCAGCCCATGGGTCATCCCGGTTCTCCCCACGGTGCACCCCGGCCGTACCGGCACCTCCTCGCCGCTCCCCTCCATGGGGCATCCCCCTTTACAGCACTCCGGTATCCCCTCCCCGCGGGTCCGGTGTCCCGGCCCCCAGCTCCTCCATCTTCCCCTCTGTTCTTCGCGGTGCTACCCGCCCTCCCCCGACGTCCCGCTCCCGGTTCCTTTGGCAGCACCCCCGGTCCCGCTGCCCCCGTTTCGTCACGGGCCGGACCCCGCAGGCAGCCACGCCTTCCTGTCCCCCCACCTCACCTAACGGAACTCATTAGCATTCTGCCCGCCCTTCGCCACGCCATTGGCCCATCCTTCCCCTTCGTTTGCATATCAGAGAGGGAGGGAACGAGCGAGCGCCTATCTGCGAATGAGTGGGCGGGGCGATGGGTATATTTGCATATAGGCCGCGCCCACAGCCTCGCTCCACCTTCACCGCGGGGCGCAGGTGCGGGCGGTGCTTGGGACGAGGCTGCCGCTACCGAGCTTTGGACCCTGCCGGTACCGCTCGGTCCTCCGCCCTTGTGTGCGGGCAGTCGGCCCTGAGTATGACCCTGGACCTTCTCTGCGTTCCCATACGCGTGTAATATTAACAGGCTTTTGCGCAGAGCCGCTTATCCTTCTTTATTCCTGTGTAGCTGTGATCTCCTGCCCTCGTTGCTGGCTGCAAGGCTGAGGGTGATGGGTGCACGCTGTGCTCGTGGCCCAAATTGATTCCCAAACATAAACACTGGGCTGTGAGAAGGGTCATACGACAAAGATCCTTACTTCACACTGACATGTGTTTTTCTCTCTCACACAGCTTCCTGCAGAGCATGGAGTGCCCCACAAGTCTGCACATCCCTGGGGTTGGGGCAAGCTGTGCTCAGTGTGGGGCTCAGCCCACTGCTGGTACAGGGGACCAGGCTGCAGGTAGGGGGCTGCAGGGTGAAGTGGGCTGAGAGCTTCAAGAGGGGCGGATTGGACACGGTGCTGGTGCTTTATTTAGATCTGAGCTGCCATTTCACCAAAGGTTTTAAGTTTGGGTGAAAAGAGAACTTCGTATTCCTTGCTGGGTGCTGCTCTCCTCTGTGTGGTGCAGGTCACAAAGCCACTCACCAGGAGGTAAAGAAAGCTGAGAAATGGCAGCCGTGCTGTCAGCACACATCCCAAAGAGCCTCGAGCCTTTTGGCAGGCAGTTGAGGCTCGCAGTGCCTCTTGCTCCACCAGTAGTGCGTTAGCTGGAGCTTTGGTGGAAATGGATCAGTGCCCCAACGCAGGGATTTCTTATCTTATTCTTCTGCTGATTGCTGGAGCTTTGGAGAGGGGCTGCTATGGAAGGAGGGTGTTGTCATCGATAGCGGTGGCTGCTGGATGGGGAACAAAGCTACTCTTGTGCCTTCCAGTGCTGCGTTCAATCAGTAACTGACCCTGCTTGCTCACCAGCTGCTGAGAATTGTTTTCATCCCTGAATCATGTAGCAGAAATGCTAAGTGATTAACAAAAAGCAGTGATGGAGCACTTAGTGGGAAGGCAGGGCCAACCCAGGGGAGCTCAGGTGTATGCAATGAACCTGAGTGACCAGAAGGGCTGGAGCCAGGATCCACCCCTTCCTTGCCCTCATTTTAGGGTTGGTAGTGGAGTTGAGGGTATCTCACTGGAGATCCCTGCGTACCCGAGGCTTTCCAAGGGTAAGCAGATTCTTTCCTTTGTTTCTGTGCTCGTGGCTGCTGTATTTGAGCATATCCTCACCTGCTGCAGCCTAGGACTTTGCTACTACGCTGTCAATGCTACTCTTTCGATCACATTACAGCCTCTAATTTAACAATGACCATTCTCGCTGTTGCAGAAATAGGAGATGTGAATCTCATTCCTGACCCCGATACAGGCCCAGAGCCTGGAGGAGAACCAAGGCACAGAGGTGCTGCTGGGCCTCCTTCCACCACTGGAACAGAGGAGGCGGGAGGAACACTGCAGGAAGGCACAGCAGTTCTGAGCAGTGCCTCAGAGACCACGTCTGAACGCACTGCAGCTGAGTTGTTTTCTGCTACTGAAGGGAAGGGAGAAGAGGAGGGAGGAGCATCGCTGCAGGAGGAAGTAACAGCTTTATGTGATGCCTCAGAGACTGATCCTCAGCACGTGGCAGATGCTTCTTCCCAAAAATCAAAGAGAAAGGTAAAGTTCTTTGTCAGTGTGATACTGAATACCACTGGCGGTGTTCCTAAGCAAACTGGAAATGTGTCTGCTGACGCTGTGTTGCAATATGCAGACAGCTGATATACTGACCAGCACTGCTTCCCTCTTTGCTACACTGAGGGTGAAAGTACCAAATCCAGCTTAGCAACTGCTCTGATCTTGTTAGCGGGCATTATGCTCACGACTGCTCTGCATTCCTGCTTAGGAAGTTTTGAACATTGAAAATACAGATTTCTCAGAAGTCAGTTGTGTTTCTCCTAATATATAAGGCTGTAGCTGGTCTTGTCCTTTTTCTTCATGGGCATTCTCCCACAGCCCAGTGTAGCAGAAATCACAGAATGGCCAGGGTTGGAAGGGACCTCAAGAATCACAAATCTCCAACCCTCTGCCACAGGCAGGGCCGCTGACTGACTTCCCCATTTAATACCAGACCAGGCTGCCCAGGGCCCCATCCGATCTGGCCTTGAACCTCCAGGGATGGGGCATCCATAACCTCTCTGGGCCACCTGTGCTAGCTGCAGTAGAAGAGGTGACAATGAGTTTCTTTTCAGTGATGAGTTAACTAGCATTTTCTTACATCTTTTTTTTCTCTTCTTAAATTGCAGGATAGAAAGAGGAATAAAGCAAAGAACAGTCCTTCTGGCCACGGGGAGCAGGACTCTCTGCCTCCTGGAAGCACAGCACCAGCTCCAACTGCAGACTTGTCTGATGAACGCCTTGTTTCACAGGAAATCCAGACCTCAAGCAGTGAAGCAGCCAAACAGAGTGCTGACTTCATTGCTGGTGATGGCGGAGGTGTGCAGGAAAGTGACAGCGCTGTGGGCTGCTTGGGAAGGGAAGCTGAAGGTCTGGAAGTGGTCTCAAGAGGCAGCCACAGCAGCGTGGCTGTGATGAACCCATTGAAGGATAACAGCACGGATACTGGGGCTGCTCCATCTCCCAGCTCTGCAGCCCTGAAAGAGAAGGTGAGAGGTGGGAGCACAACACAGCATGAAGTCAGGAGTGGTGTGAAAGAGAGGAGTGCTGCATCTGATGCTGGCCAGGCTTCAGAATCCGGACAAGATTCCCAGTTTTTGGATGGCAAACAGAAACCAGCTTCAATGGGAGAGAAAACAGATGTTTCCTCTGGGATTTCCCCTGATACTGAAGTGCCTAAAAGTAAGCCTGCAAATTCTTGTGCTGAACGTCCAAGTCAAGGTGCAAAGACGCCTGTTGTGTCCAAAAGCTCAAAGACTGAGGAGGGTAAACAAGAGAACAGCCAGAAAGTGAGCTGTCCTTCCAAGGTAAGTGTGTGAGTGAAAGCTCCAGTGAGTATTTGGTTGTGTTGGAAAGTGTTTGTCCTTTTTCCACTGTGATTCTCTCGTGCTGTCAGTAAAGCTGAAGATGGTAAGGC